CTGCACACGAATATTCATTGCAGTACTGTTTACAATAGCAAAGACCTGGAACCAACCCAAATGCCCATTGATGATAGACTGGACAGGAAAAATGTGACACATGTACACCATGGAATATTATGCAGCCATCAAAAACGTTGAGTTTGTGTCCTTTGTAGGGACATGGATGAACCTGGAAACCATCATTCTCAGCAAACTGACAGGAGAGCAGAAGATCAAACACCGCATGTTCTCACTCACAGACGGGCATTGAACAATGAGAAAACATGGACACAGGGTGGGGAGCACTACCCACTGGGGTCAGTTGGGGGGAAACAGGAGAGGGACAGTGGGGGTTGGGGAGCTGGGGAGGAATGGCAGGGGGAGAGATGCCAGACGTAGGTGATGGGGAGGAAGGCAGCAGATCACACTGTCACGTGTGTACCTATGCAACAATCTTGCATGTTCTTCACATGTACCCCAAAACCTAAAATGCAATAAATAAATGGGGAAAAAAGAAGATACGTTCCATCAATACCTAGTTTATTGAGAGTTTTTAGAATGAAGGGCTGTTGAATTTTATTGAAGGCCTTCTCTACATCTATTGAGATAATCATGTGGTTTTTGTCTTTGGTTCCTATATAATACTGGCAAACAGATAGCAACAACATATCAAGAAGCTTGCCCATCACGACCAAGAAGACTTCATCCAAGTGATGCAAATCTGGTTCAACATACGCAAATCCATAAATGTAATCCATCACATAAATGGAACAAAACTGCTGATATTTTATTTATTTATTTATTTTTTAAAGGCGGGGTTTCACCATGTTGGTCAGGCTGATCTTGAACTCTTGACCTCAGGTGATCCCCCACCTTGGCCTCCAAAGTACTTGGATCGCAGGCATGAGCCACCACGTCTTGACTAATACTTTAAAATTAACAAATACCAAACCAGAAAGAACTAGACGTAGGAACCAAACTCTGGTTGCTCTAGTGAACAGGGAAGAATTTTAGGATTGGAAGGCCGCCACTTTTCCTTCAGTTTGTCATTGACAGGCAAAAGATGGCCTCAGCTGACAAAAGATGGCCTTGTTATGTGAACATAACCTCTTAAGTTGAAAAAAAAACTCTACTAACTAGAAAATACATACTTGGCAGCTACAAGAGTTTTTGCCAGTTCAGATGGCTTGCTTCCCAAAATTTGGAACATTCCCTTGGATTTGACCAAGTCAGAAAAATATGGTCATACTTGATGGAAGAAAAGTGAAATAACAACAAAATCCCAAACATAAATAAGTGAATAAATAAGTTAAGCAAAATAAACAAAAGCACAATAATTATGATTACTGAGTGTTATAATGGTAAGGAGAAATTAAAACCAACTGGTTGGTAATCTTAACTTATAGTCATTAACGAAAAATTTTAAGACAAATCTTTAATTTAGCCACTTACCTGGAAATAAGGCTCAGGCTGATGACTGTTCTCTACCATCTTAGAGGCAGGAAAAAATTCACACTCACCTTTCCTGTCAGAAGCAAGCTGAAACTCAAGATAGGAAGTGCCTACTCTCCGTCATCATGGAAGCAGAAAAACTTGTCTTCCTTACCGGAAATGAGTAAAACTTTACAAAAGGAGCTGTAAAGCAAAATCAACCTTTAGTGCTCAACCAAATTTTGGGAGATCAGGGACTCTCCGGAGGGCAGAAGCTCCCAAACCTCAGAAAATCATCTATCCTATTGGTTTGAACAATAAGGAGAGCCCAGGTTAGTATCAAGCAAAAATGATATTTATCAAAGGTCAGGGGCACATTTGTAATGTCTTATTTTTTTTTTTTTTTGAGACAGAGTCTCGCTCTGTTGCCAGGTGCCAGGCTGGAGTGCAGTGGCACGATATCAGCTCACTGCAACCTTCCCCTCCTGGGTTCAAGCAATTCTCCTGCCTCCACCTCCCGGGTAGCTGGGGCTACAGGTGGTTACCACCACGCCGTTATTATTATTATTTTGTGTGTATTTTTAGTAGAGATGGGGTTTCACCATATTAGCAAGGATGGCCTCGATCTCTTCACCTTGTGATCCCCCCACCTCAGCCTCCCAAAGTGCTGGGATTACAGGCTTGAGCCACCGCACAGGGCCCATATCCTTCTTTTTTTATCTTTATTGCTATAGGCTGTCTTGTCAGAAACTAGGATTGCAACACCTGCTTTTTTCTGCTTCCCATTTGCTTGAAAGATTTTTCTCCATTCCTTTATTTTGAGCCTATGTGTGGGAGTGCATGTGAGATGGGTCTCTAAAAGACAGCATACTCAAATGGGTCTTGGTTCTTTTCCAGCTTGCCCCCCTATGTTTTTCAATTGGAGCATTTAGCCCATTTACATTTAAGGTTAGCAATGATATGTATGGATTTGATCCCGTCATCACGCTGTTAATTGATAATTTTGCAGGCTTATGTATATGGTTGGTTTTTTAGCATCACTCATCTGTGTAATTCAGTGCATTTTTGTAGTGGTTGATGATGATCTTTTCTTTCTATATTAAGTGCTACTTTCAGGAGCTCTTGCAAGGTAGATCTGCTGGTAATGAATTCCCTCAGCATTTGCTTGCCTGAAAACGATCTTATTTCTCCTTCATTTATGACACTTAGTTTTGCTGGACTTGAAGGTCTGGGTTGAAATTTTTTTCTTTAAGAAGTTGAATATCTCTTCTGGCTTGTAGGGTTTCAGCTGAGCAGTCCAGTGTTAGTCTGATGGGATGCCCCTTGTAGGTGACCCTGTCTTTCTCCCTAGCTGCCGCTAACAATTTTCCTTCATTTTGACCTTGGAGAACCTGATGATTATGTGTCTTAGGGATGTCCTTCTCGTGGCATATTTGAGGTTCTCTGGATTTCCTGAATTTCAATGTTGGTCTGTCTGGCTAGGTTGGGGAAATTCTCATGAATGATATTCAAAATATGTTTTCCAAGTTGGTTCCATTTTCCTCATCTCTTTCAGGTACATTAATAAGGCACACATTTCGTCTTTTTACATAATCCTTTATTTCTCAAAGCATTTGTTCATTCCTTTTCATTCTTTTCCCCCATTCCTGCCTAGTTTCTTTCAGAAACCCAGTTTTCAAGCTCTGAGACTCTTTCCTCTGTTTGGTCTATTCTACTAAGTGGTCTTGCACATGAGATGGTGCTGGTCTGACCTCAGCACTCCTTAGTCTGCTTGCCTCCCCAGGACCCCAGCCTGGCCACACCTGCTTACAGGGCACCCTTGGGTGCCCACACACACTACAACAATTTTCATAATGCAATCACACACAACTACCATGTGTCTGCATTATGAAAATTCTTGTAGTGTGTTTTTCAGCTCTATCACGGCAGTATGTTCTTTTTTTTTTGTTTTTAATTGTAGTTAAGGTTCTAGAGTACATGTTCAGATCATGCAGGATTTTTGCATAGGGACATACATGGCAATGTAGTTTGCTGCCTCCATTCCTTTACCAGCAACTGGCATTTCTCACCATGTTTTCTCTCCCTGACCTCCACAACCCCCGTTGCTTCTCTGTTGGCCACCCCCAAACTGACCCCAGTGTATGATGCTCCCCTCCCTGTGTCCATGCGTTCTCATTATTCAGCACTCAACTATGAGTGAGAACATGTGGTGTTTGATTTTCTGTTCTTCCATCAGTTTGCTGAGAATGATGGTTTCCAGATTCATCCATGTCCCTACAAAGGACACAATCTCATCTTTTTTTATGGCTGCATAGTATTCCATGTTGTATATATGTCACATTTTCCTTGTCCATTCTATCATCGATGGGCATTTGGGTTGGTTCCAGGTCTTGGCTACTATAAGCAGTGCCAATCTGAACATATGGGTGCATGTGTCTTTATAATAGAATAATTTATAATACTTTGGGTATATACCCAGTAATGGAATTGCTGGATCAAATGGAATTTCTATTTCTAGGTCCTTGAGCAAGTGCCACCCTGTCTTCCACAATGGTTCAACTAGTTTACACTCCTAGCAACAGTATAAAAGTGTTCCTATTTCTCCACATGCTCTCTGGTATCTGTTGTCTCCAGATTTTTTAATGGTCACCATTCTAACTGGAATGAGGTGATACCTCAATATGGTTTTGATTTCTCTAATAATCAGTGATGATAAGCATTTTTTCATATGTTTATTGGTCTCATATATATCTTATTTTCAAAAGTGTCTGTTCATATCCTTTGCCCACTTTTCAATGGGTTTGCTTGTTTGTTTGTTTGTTTTTGTAAATCTGTTTTAGTTCTTTGTAGATTCTGGATATCAGCCCTTTGTCAGATGGGTAGATGGCAAAAATTGTTTCCCATTCTATTGGTTGCCGGTTCACTCTAATGATTGCTTCTTTTGCTGTACAGAAGCTCTGGAGTTTTATTAGGTCCCATTTGTCTATTTTGGCTTTTGTTGCCAATGCTTTTGGGGTTTTAGTCATGAAGTTCCTGCCTATGCCTATGTCCTGAATGGCTTTGCCTAGGTTTTCTTCTCGGCTTTTTATGGCATTAGGTCTTATGTTTAGATCTTTAATCCATCTGGAGGTAATTCTAGTGTAAGGTGTCAGGAAGAGGTCCAGCTTCTGCTTTCTGCACACTGCTAGTGAGTTTTCCCAACACCATTTATTAAACAGGGAATCCTTTCCCCATTGCTTGTTTTTGTCAGGTTTGTCAAAGATCAGATGGTTGTAGATGTGTGGCATTGCCACCAGGAACTCTGTTCTGTTCCATTGGTCTATGTCTCTGTTTTGGTACCAGTATTATACTGTTTTGATTACTGTAGCTTTGTAGTATAGTTTGAAATCAGGTAGCATGATGCCTCCCACTTTGTTCTTTTTGGTTAGGATTGTCTTGGCTATGTGGGTTCTCTTTTGGTTCCATATGAAGTTTAAGGTAGTTTTTTCCAGTTCTGTGAAGAAGGTCATTGGTAGCTTTATGGGGACAGCACTGCATCTATAAATTACTTGGCCAGTATGGCCATTTTCACGATATTGATTCTTCCTAAAAATACGGAATGCTTCATGAATTTGCATGTCATCCTTGGGCAGGGGCCATGATAATCTTCTCTGAATCATTTCAATTTTAATATATGTGCGGCCAAAGTGAGCACTGGTAAGGTTCTTTATACTGTCTATATTGCCTGTTAACTCTTGCGATGTTTTACGAAGATTTTTGGCTTCCTTGCATTGGATCATGATATACTTCTTTCACTCAGTGAACTTTGTTTCTACCCACATTCTGAATTCTACTTGTATCATTTCAAACATGTCAGCCTCTGGCCAGTTCTGAAAACTTCAACAAGCTGAAGAGTTGATGTAATCATCTGGAGGAAAGAAGGCATGCTGATTTTTTGAGTTTTCAGTGTTCTTGCACAGATTCTTTCTCATCTTTATGAGCTTATTCACCTTCAACCTTTGAGGTTGCTGACCTTTGCACAGGGTATTTTTCTTTTATTGTATTTGATGACCTTGAGGGTTTGATTGTGGTGTAAGGTAGATTCAGCCAACTGGCTTTGGTTTTGGAGGACTTTAGGGGGCCAACATTCATCTCCCAATTCCTGGACTGTGTGCTTTAACTCTAGGAAACTTGTATTGGGGCTCAACATTGTTCTCTGGCTCCTTGAAGTCTGGAGTCTACTGCACTGAAGGCACCAAAGTGTGGCAGCTGTGGCAGAGTGCTAGCAGATGCAGAAATGCCTGCCTCCCTGTGGGCATTCATCCAGTGGTGGACGCAAGACAGCTTCAGTGGGGGCCAGGGGGCCCCTGCTGTGTGTGCTGTTGCACTGGAGGTAGTGTTGGTTCAGCGTGGGATGCTGGCCTGTGCAGGTCTGGGTGCCTCCTCTGTGACCCCCTAAGCAGCAGTGGTCACTCAAGGTATATTAGGGTCCCTTTTTTTGTGCACGGCATTAGTTCAAGGGCAAGGTGCTGGCAGGAGTGGTGCTTTTGGTTCTGTGCCCTCCATGACGCTGTCCTGAGTGGCAGTTGCTGTGGGCTGAAGTATGTGCTACAGTCCCACGTGCTGAGTCTAGCAAAATCCACTCATGTAAACACATACCAGCAAAGCGATGTAGGAAGTTTGTGTATAAAGATCTGCAGTATGGAGAGGCAATGTAGAGGCTGGTGCATGCCTGGTGGGGCCAGGTTGCTGCATCTCTCCACTGCTCAGGCATGGTCCACTGGCACAGAAGCAAAGGTGTGGGCACCTGAGAGTGCCCTGTAGGCAGGGGTGGCCAGGCTGGGGCCCTGGGAGAGGCAAGCAGACTAAGGAGTGCTGAGGTCAGACCAGCTTCATCTCATGTGCAGGAATGCCCAACAGAGATCAGGTCTCAGAGGAGAGTTCTCTGAAAAGGGAAGCCCCAGCACAGCACAGCTGCTCCACAAAAACCTGGCCAGACTTCTTTTTTTCAGCAAATCTCCTTTTATTAAGAGGGAAGCTCACACACCTGATCTCTGCTGGGCAATCATCACATGAGATGTGGCTGACCAGACCTCCACACTCCTGAAGTGCTGGGATAAAGTGTCTCATGAGACCAAGTAGATCCTGGAAAGATAGCTGTCCCTGCCCTCTGGGCTTCATATCAGCGGGCTCGCTGCTCCACCACTTTGCTTGTCTTCTGGGCACTCCACCCAAGAGAGATGTGAGTTAGCCATCACTTAGTGTAATCAGCCCAGGATGGAGGGTCTGTGCTGTGGGTCCAAGCCAACGTTCCCTACCTGGTGATAAGCAGTGGGGTGTGTGTGGTGCCCACAAGAGATGAACTGCCTTGTTCCTTCGGTTAACTGTAGCTTGTTAGAGGTATCATTATGACACTTAGGGTCTTCACTTTCTTGATATTCTGAAGGTAACAAGGGCAGATCCACTGCAGAGTCAGTGACAGAAGATTTCGGTTGATCCGTGAAGCTCTGTCCAATGAATTGCCAAGTTGCTACTGGCTTGATGGCTTCAGTGGGGGCCTGGCTAAAGACCTGCTCATGCAGAAGATATGGAAACCAGCACCCATGTAACTGTTCAGCCACTTTTCCATAAGGCTGCTGTGGTATGCTGGGGGTCCGCTCCAGTCTCTAATTGCCTCATATCTCCCAGTGCCTGAAACTATCACTAGTGAAGCCTGCAAAAATGTAAAGATGATAGAGTGCCGCTTCCTCTGGGAGCTCTGTACCACTGAGGTACAATCCTGTTGCCAGTCTGAACACACTTATAAGAGGTGGCTGGAGACAAGTTCAGAAGTCTTGTCTAGTCAGCAGGAACAAGAACAGAGACTTGCTTTTAAAAATGCCTGGCTACGTTTCTGTAGAGCAACTGTGCTGTGCTGGGGGTTCACTTCAGCCCCTGGTCACCTCAGACACTCTGAAGCCCCAAGGTTGAAATGGCTGAGTCACCCAAACAGCAAAGATGACAGTCTCTTCCTCCCCTGGAAGCTCTGACTTAGGGAGGCCTGAAACATCTGTCATCCAGAGAACAGCAGTGAAGGTAGCCAGAGACCCTGGTTGAAAGACTCCACCCAGTGATTAGAAAGGTGGTTAGTGACTGAATTCAACAACAACCTGGCGGGTAACCTTCTTGGATGAGGATAGCAGAAGAAGAAATCAGCAGCAACCCTTGCTGTTCTGCAGCCCCTGTGGGTGATGCCCAGGTGGGTGGGATCTGGAGTGGACATCCAGTGATCCTGAGTCAGAGGGGCCTGACTGTTTAGAAGGAAAACTAAGAAACAGGAAGAAATAGCTACAACATCAATGAAAAGTATGTCCGCTTAGAGATCCCACCTGAAAGTCACCAACTACAAAGACCACAGGTAGATAAAGCCACTAAGATGGGAAGAAACCAGCACAAAAAGGAAGAAAACACCAAAAACCAGGAAGCATCTCCTCCTCCAAGGGATCACAACTCCTCACCAGCTAGGGATCAAAGATAGATGGAGAATGAATCTGATGAATTGACAGAAACAGGCTTCAGGAGGTGGGTAATAACGTCCTTCTCCGAGCTAAGAGACCATGTGCTAACCCAATGCAAAGAAACTAAGAACCTAGAAAAAAGGCTAGATGAGATGCTGACTAGAATAAACACCTTAGAGAAGAATAGAAACGACTTGACATAGCTGAAAAACACAGCACGACACCTTCACAAAGCACACACAAGTTTCAATAGCTGAATTGACCAAGGAGAAGAAAGGATATCAGAGATTGAAGATCAATGTAATGAAGTAAAATGAGAAGGCAAGAATAGAGAGAAAAGAGTGAAAAGAAATGAACAAAGCCTCTAAGAAATATAGGATTATGTGAAAAGACCTAATCTACGTTTGATAGGCATACCTGAATGTGACAGAAAGAATGAATGCAAGCTGGAAAACACTCTTCAGGATATTATCCAGGAGAACTTCCCCAATCTAGCAAGGCAGGCCACCATTCAAGTCCAGGAAGTATGGAGAACACCAAAAAGATATACCTCAAGGACAGCAACCCCAAGGCACATAATCGTTGATTCACCAGGGTTGAAATGAAGGAAAAAATGCTAAGGGCAACAAGAGAGAAAGGTCGCATTACCCACAAAGGGAAGCCCACCAGACTCACAGCGGATCTCTCCACACAAACCCTACAAGCCAGAAGAGAGTGGGGGCCAATATTCAACATCCTTAGAGAAAAGAACTTTCAACCTAGAATTTCATATCCAGCCAAACTAAGCTTCACATTCAAAAGGAGAAAGAAAATCCTTTATGGACAAGCAATTACTGAGAGATTTTCTCACCACCAGGCCTGCCTTACAAGAGCTCCTGAAAGAAGCACTAATCAAGGAAAGAAATAATCCATAACAGCCACTCCAAAAATGTACCAAATGGTACACAATGACCATCGACACATGAAGAAAATGTGTCAACTAAAGGGCAAAACAGCCAGCTAGCATCAAAATGGCAGTATCAAATTCACACATAACAAAATTAACCTTAAATGTAAATGGACTAAGTGCCGCAATCAAAAGACATAGACTTCCAAATTGGATAAAAATTCAAAACCTATCAGTGTGCTGTATTCAGGAAACCCATACCATGTGCAAGGACACAAGCAGGCTAAAAATGAAGGGATGAAGGAAGATGTATCAAGCAAATGGAGAGCAAAAGAAAGCAGGAGATGCAATCCTAGTCTCTGATAAAATGGACTTTAAACCAACAAAGATCAAAAGAGACAAAGAAGGGCATTACATAAAGGTAAAAGGATCAATGCAACAAGAAGAGGTAACAATCCTAAATATATATGCACTCAATACAGGAGCACCCTGGTAGCACCCATGTACATAAAGCAAGTTCTTAATGACCTACAAAGAGACTTAGACTCCCACATAATAATAGTGGGAGACTTTAAAACTCCATTGTCAATATTAGACATATCAACGAGACAGAAAATTAAAAATGATGTCCAGGACTTGAACTCAGATCTGGACCAAGCAGACCCAATAGACATCAACAGAAATCTCAACCAATAATCCACAGAATATATGTTCTTCTCAGCACCACACAGCACCTACTCTAAAATTGACCACATAATTGGAAATAAATCACTCCTAAGCAAATGCGAAACAACGGAAATCATAACAAATGGTCTCTCGGACCACATGCAATGAAATTAGAACTCACAATTAAGAAACTAAGTCAGAACTGCACGACTTCATGAAAACAGAACAACGGGCTCCTGAATGTCGACTGCATAATCAATGAAATGAAGGTAGAAATAAAGCTGTTCTTTGAAACAAATGAGAACGAAGACACAACGTGCCAGAATCTCTGGGACACTTTTAAAGCAGCGTCAAGAAGGAAATTGATAGTAATAAATGCCAACCAGAGAAGCGAGGAAAGACCTAAAATCGACACTCTATTGTTAAAATTGAAAGAGGTAGGGGAGCAAGTTCAAAAAACTCAAAAGCTAGCAGAAGACAAGAAATAACTAAGATCAGAGCAGAACTGAAGGAGATAGAGACACAAAAAGCCCTTCATAAAATCAATAAATCAAGGAGCGGGTTTTCCGAAAAGATCAACAAAATAGACAGACCCCTAGCCAGATTAATAAAAAAGAGAAGGAAGAAGAATGAAACAGATGAAATAGAAAACAATAAAGGGGATAT